TACATTACAATTGCAATCATTTTCTTGAATGGTCTTTCAAATAAATTATAGAATACAAACATTTGAGTTCCAATCTTGGATTGGCCAGCGATTGGGTGGGTGACTTTGAGTAGATAATTTCATTTATAAAATGAAAATCATATGAAGTCATTTCTGAAGTTCCTTTTCGCTGTAACATTCCATGACTGCATAATTTTCATTTCTTTGGGAAAAAAAAAATAAAGGCAATTCCAACATAACACTGTGAGACAAAAGGGAGTAATGCTGGACTAGATTTACTGTAGAAAGATTTCATCCAACACTATGGTTTCAAGAATGACAGGAGATTACCAAAGAAGTTTGAGGAATGGTGGAAAAATCCAAAATCATGACAGTAATGAACACTGAACAGGTAAGAAGCTGAAGACAAATTACTGAAAAACTATTATTTACACAGTTTAAAAAAAAAAAAAGAACAATAAAGCAGGCTCTTGAAACATTTTCCCCATCAAAATGGGCAGGACTAAATGTTGGATAATTTGTTCCTACTTGGATGATGTCATCATGCTAGGTTTAACTACTTTTAATAACTAGTACATTTCCGTCATCTCTCACTTTCTCCCACATAAGATCAAGTCAGCCTCTCAATGACCCACACTTCATGAGTCATAATTTTTCTGTTTATGATTCAGAAAAATGTCTTCAGTCAGTATTTCCCAGACTGCTGTGGGTTTACTCCAAGAACCAATTTCATCTTCATTGGTTTCCTACAGGAAACCAGACCAACTTCCTATTATTTTATTTTCCTTACTTTTAGCATACCATAGCCCACAGCAAATTAACTGGAAGTGAGAGTGATAGAAGACTTTATCCTGCACAAAGAGAAGCCAACATAAACAATGCCCAGTCTAGAAGTCACGGATTCAAAATTAAATATAAAATGTGCTAATATTAGAAACTTCCTTCAAAAAAGCTCCAAACCAAATAATAAAAATGTATTTTAATTAACCTTACTCTAAGTATTCCACTGTCAGAAAGAACATTTGTTTAAGAACGACTGTCTAAGAATACAATAAATCCTACAAAGCTGATTAACACTGAGAAATCAATTATAAAAATATATGTATATATGTATGTACATATATATACATGTATGTGTGTGTGTATATATATATATGTATGCTTGTATGTATTTTCCAACCCTAGCAAGCTGCTAAGACAACAGGGAGACAACTGAAGCCCAATACAGAGCCTTGGAGTGGTCAGGAAACAGAGCAACATTCCCCTAGCAACATGGCAGTCTGTCATCCCCAGCTGCCATCACTCCAGCCCCTGCCCCACACCCACTCTTTCTATGATTAAGAAAAAATCTGACACTAGATCACAGCAGAAATAGTGACATGGAACATGGATTTTTAAGGGACATTTTATCAGTGGTCTGTACTCATACTATTCCCCTAAAATACTAGTATTTCTCATGGACTACACAGAAAAAGATTTGTGAATGTGAAGAATTTTGGTATAAACATATATCAGATTCTCCTTAGACTCTTTCCATTCTCATCACTCCTGATAACAGGTATAGTTTTAGGCTTTAAAAGCCCACAAGGTCACTAACTGGCAAGGAGCAGGATAATTTTATATCAAATTCAAAAGTTGATACATTAAAAAAAAGCCTAAAAAGAATGCATTTAAGGCACATATTAAATATGGATAAACCAAGGGACTTGAAACATTAGAGCAATGGTTCTCTAAGTGAAATTCCCAGACCAGAGTCAGCATTACCTGAACATGTCCTAAAATGGAAGTTCTCACCCTACTCTAGACCTAATGAATCAGAAATTCTGGGGAAGGGCCTGCAACCTGCAGCTGATGCTAAAGTGAGCCTTATCTGTCATATTCTCTTTCTTCCTTCTTACACTAGGAAATTCCTAGAAAAGAATCCACTCAGTTTGCATTTCCCTCATAACCCCTCAACTTCTAAATCCTCTGTGCCCTGGCTAACTCCTCTATCATACGCTAAAATGCTCTCTTTAGAAGTATCTAGCTCTGCTGATATTCCCTCCTGCTTGAAATGGCCTGATTTTTTACTTCTGTGACACAATTCCACTCTCCTGCCTGTCCCTCTCCTACTTTCCTGTCATCAGTGATTACTCTTCCTCCTCCCATTCTAAATGCACTCACGTCCCCTAGGTTCAAGCTTCAGTCCTCTACTCCTCTTTCTCTATCTGCCTCCTTGCTATCTCAAGAATTCTCAGAGCTGACTTTACATCTCTGTACCCCAAATCGCTCTCAAACCTCACAACATATTTTAAACTACCTTATGACCTACTTCACCTGAATGTATTTCAAGTACTGCCAGCAGAACATATCCAAGAGGGAATTTTTCATTTACCCTGTCTGACTCCAACAGTCCCTCCCTGAATGCCTGCTTCTACTATTGGTACCATTAGTCGTCTGGTCCCCTGGGCAGTGCATTGCTTTCCCTCTTCCCTGGCTCCCATATCTTATCAGCAGAGAGGTCAACCCTACCAGGCATCGCATGTCATTCACCCCATTCCCACCATCTTCCAACAGCTTCCTATATGTCTTCTGAGCCCTACCACTAGACTTACCTGTAAAACTCATCTCTCAATCAGTTTTCCCCATAGTCAAAAATATGCAGAGGCTGCCCAAAGGTAGCCCAACTTCCTACACAGCCTTACGTCACATTTCTCTTCAACAATTTTTTTGCTCAGCTAATCTAGAATGCTCATCATGTTATAGACATACCCCTAGTTTTCTCACTTCTGACTCTGGGCCTTACATCACTACCTCCATTTCAACTACCAGTTCCCACTAACTATGTCTGCAAATTTCTTCCATAAACCTCCTCCTTGATACCATCATAATGCCCTCAAACTGAAGTTCTCTCTCACCCTTCTCTAAAGACCCATAGATATTAGTGCCAGCCTCTGTCACTTGCCACAAATCACCCCTACACCAGTTCAGAACCTCCACAACAGAAGTGGGTTTTATACATCTTTGTGTCCTCCATTCCACCACACATGCAAATATTTGTTGGAGGGCTAAATGATCTTACAAGTCAAAATTCATATTCAATTAAGCACCATTTCTGCCAATTAGCTGGCCTTCAGGAGAAGCAGGCAAAACACAATAAAAACAGACAAACGTCACATACACAGCAACTTAGAATGAAATGACTCAATTTCCTAAGCTTTCTATACTTACAGTGCAACCAGCCTAGAATGATACCCACAACAGTAATAGGCTCACTTCAAGTAAGATAAGTACAACAGACTTTTTGAACTACAAAAACTTTTTGGAAAAAGGAGAAGACTGATTCATTTAACACTAAAATGACAGGGGATACCTTCTATAAATAAATCTTCATAAAATTTCCTACATCTTTCCCACCATGCCAGTTTATAGCTCCAGGGGTACCTAAACTATCTATAATCACAAAGGAAAGTTCTTAATCTAAAGGAAATTGAATAACAGAGCATTCATACCAAAACATTCAAATTTTGCCTGGAAGATACTCTCACGTTGGTCAAGAAGCCCAAGAAGCGACTAGATAAATTATAATGTGGAAGATGGACTGATTGTTCCAGTTCGGGATAAATAGTCTTCACACCTGGAATAATAAAGAGAGTGACTACTTCTCTACAGAAAAGAGGTGGTAATCTCTCCTGGCATAGTATGCATAAGATACCCTATAAAATGAGAAAAGATATTCAGAATCATTTAGAAAAACAGCTCTGCTCTAACTGAAAGACCTTGATAACTTTCACAGCCCAAAGGTTAACACTGGATACTGAACAGAATCATCACAGATTAAGAAAGGGGAAAATTTTTTTTCCAAGACAGCACAGATAAGAAGCATCTTTATTGATATGTAGCTATCCTTCAAGGATAACATTTTAGGGAAAAATGTAAATTACGAGGATTTCTACACTATTTTTAAATTTAATATTACAAGACTGGGTTAACCACTATGTTTCTCTCACTATATTCCACACCTGGTTTCATTTTATTTAGTTTATAGTTTCTCCCTTAAACTAGCAGAGATATAAAACAGGCATAAAGATTCCATTCCTTCTAAAGTTGGGGATATGGAGGAACACAAATCACCTTAAGTATTTCTGAAATAACACTGCTGAATTTGTTCATTAAACAGCAAAAAACAAAAAAACAAACAACAAAAAACCGATAGATTCTTTGGACTTTTTTTGGCAGGATGGCGGGGGACTCTTTTAACTTAGAGTTATTTGCTCTTATTTCTCAGCTCCATTATTCTGATTGAGTAAGTGTCTAAATAGAACTTGTATCATTCCTGGCTTCAGATTTCACTCACTCAAGTGAACACTGGGATATAGCAACAAAAATGGAAATTTGAATTAAGCAGATTGCTAGAGCTCTAGGGATGGGCTTCTCAGGTTTACTGCAATTTGTTCCAGAAAGAAAAACTAAAGAGAGGTAGGTAGACTACCAGAGTATCTGAATTAAGGGAAAGAAATCAACATTAGCTGTATCATACTGAGGAGACAAAAAGCTAAAAACAGTTTTTCTTCCCATAATTTTTACTACTTACAATAAAAAGTTAATTCAGTTAATTTTAACATATTATTGAACTCAAAAAATATTATTTTCTCAGCCAATAATATAACCACTACCAAAAATTAATATTAAAGTAGAAGTTTTATTGCGTTACATTTTCCAAAATTTTAACAAAACACTTCATTCACAATGTGATTTGAAATGGCAGAAAATAGACTACAAGATTAACCCAAAATAAATGAATACTGCTATTTTAATGTTAGCAGTAAGATTTTATATTGCTCAGTAACAGAGAATACACTTTTAAAAAGTATTAGTATTTCTATTAGATTCATTAATTAAACTCGAAGACCAGGAGTAGTGCCTATATTAAGAAACAACAACAAAAGGAACAGAAAAAAGTAAAATGCGGAACAACTAAGGAACACAGCCAGAGAAATCGGACCGTAAAAATGGCTTACTTTAACGTGGCTCTGGGCTCCAAGGTTGTAGATCTCTGTAGGCTTTACTTCATTAATGATCTTCACAAGGCAGGTACTGTCAGTGAGGTCACCATAGTGCAACTTCATGTCTTTAGAATTCAAAAGCATACCATTAGATAGAAGAAAATATCAGCCCTTTTTTAAAAAAATATCAAAATTGAAAGGCATATTTTGAAAGTCTGAAAACCATACTGGTTTCAGAGCAGCAGAGTATAACTGTCATCTTTAAAGAACCTAAATGGTAGAAAGATACATTTGTTGCCTGTGTCTGTTTACAAATGCTACAAAGAGGATTTGTAAAAACTCAAATGAACTTTTTTTTTAAATCTTATCAAGACAGATGTTATACAGTTAATGTATCTTACGGTTCCCAGGTAGTTTGTAAGATGTGTTACATAACAGTGAGATTCAGACAAAAAAAAAAAAAAAAAAAAACTCACGAAAATGCATATATTGTCTAAAGAACTCTGTAATACACCAGTAATAGTGAATAAGATACTTCTATCTAGTGATTTTAAAGTACTTCATAAACATCAATCCTTAAGCCAACTACGAAATGCCTGATGTAGAGACATAACTGATTAGGACAACTAGCCTATTCTAACCCTAAATCTCAGCATATCCTTACACTGATACATGTAGATAGGTGATTTGCTAGCTTGATATTTTGTTATTTTTACATAAAATTGATCTATGTCTAGACCCAATGGCACTACCATTCTGCACTTTGCACAAAAATGATAATAATTTTCAAGAAGGATGTACTGAATAACCTGAATACTAAGGTAAAGGGCCTTTAGTGGAGACAACTACGTTAACCAAATATTTGGTGCTCTGAAATGAATACAAAATGATTTATGCTTTACATGCTGACTGAATCATCCCTGCCAGCTGGAAAAACTGGACAAGCAAAGCAGGCTGAACTTGGGAGTTAAAAACCCAGGGTCCTGGTCCTAGCTCTGTCTTTTACATGGTATGTGACCTCAATAAAGCTACCACCTCTCTCTGCCTCTATTTCCTCATCTGTAAAATGGTTTCACTCACAAGCTTAGGAGCTGCTATAAAGGGCAAATGAGAAAACACTGTGACTGGGCTATGTAGACTATCTGGCTACATTCAGGCAACCTTATTAAAAATAACATGCAACTGCAAATACTGACAGTGATTTGTAAAGCAATTAAATATAGTTTTGATTGCCACCTGTTTTTGGACCTGTCTTCACAAATTATTTTAAAAATTAAATAAATGTACAAAGATCGCTTAGCTTGATTACATTAGACCAAACATAAAAAGCAAAGGAGTGTTCTGTGAATATGGACCTGATCTTACTTGAGGGGATAAGGACACCTGGAGAAGGGTGATCAAAGGCATGTCTACTCTTGGTTTCTTGAGCAGCATCACCTGACCAATAACCTGTAACAGCCTAACCAAGATGACACTGTGGCCCAGGGGCAGCAAGCAATGGAAGGGTTTTCAAAGCATACAGATAGCATTCGATGTAGGCAATTCATGGGTAAATAATTGCAACTTGATGGGCTTTGAGAAAAATGACATCTGAAAATAACTTATCATAATATAGGAAGCTACAGAAAGAAATTTTAGTAAAGAAAATGACTTACTTCCTTCAATATGAGCCTGGGGGTTCTTATACAGATGTTCAATTCGACCTGTATTGAATGAACTGGATCGCCGCACAATTCCATGGACCTGCATTTTTTATAATGCGGAAAGATAAGAAATTATAAATGTGCAATGAGGATTAATAAGCAACTCAGAGGTTCTTTTGTTAATGCTTACCTTGTGAAAAAATAACTATAACTTATAAGCCTATAACTTATGAACATTATCTTTAAATTATTAAAAATAGTCCCACTGCTTACTTTCTCTCCCACTACTGCCCACCAGCCACCAGCATTGTACCTCCATCTCTCTGCCATGTTTTCACTGCCAATCTCAACAAGAGTAATTAGAGAATTATGTGACTTCACAGCAAATGCTTAGTTACAGATACTCAAATGTCTCCTTTTCCAAACACACACACACTTAGAGCCCTGCTGCTGACAAAATATCTCTTCAGTTTGAAACCGAAGACAGACCATGTGAGGCCATATCGGTAAAACTGCCCTGCAGCCTCTGTAACACAAAGCATGAGGCTGAGAGGCTCTGATGCCACCACATCCTTCCAGTGTCCTCAGAGCTTTGCATCGTGCACCTATTACATATATATATAAATATACCTGCATCCACAAATATAAACAAACAGCAGCTGCTATTATCCAGCTTTGCAGAAAAGAAATAGCATAGATTAGGGACAAGACTTATACTCTACTAGATTTAAGATATCAAGAAAACTCAAATGAAGAAAGGATTTTTTATTTTTTTAATTTTTATCTTTACCTTAACCATTATTAGTATGAGGGGGAAGAAAGTCCTTGGAACAAGAATGCATACCTGTCTGATACCAAAGAAAAGACTATTTGTATCTGACACATAAGAGAAATTGTTCAAGACCTGGTCTCACTTCCTCCTTATGTCAAGATTGCTCCCTTTGTGTTGCCAATGCTAATACAAGCTTATGTCACCAGCTGCCCAAGTTCCAGTTCTACTGGGGGCAGTTTTAATCCTTCACTTATTTTAGAAGTGTTCTTTCAAATGTTGGGCAGTTTCATTTGCAGCTGAATACACTTCTATATTTTAACTCAATCGTTTTCTGTCTGTTTCAAACCGAAATTAATCCTTGGCATGACTCGAATATTCCAAATGCTGGGGGGGGGGGCAGAATTATAAGCACATAAGACTTTCTTTCAAATAGAAAGACATCTCATCGTCATTTTATACGCCATACATGAGAAATTAACTTCTGCAAAGGATACAACACACCCACAATTAATAATTCTTTTGGTTAGCTGCTTTAGCCAAAGAAAAAAGCACTCATCCACACTATTTTCCAAAAGAACTAAGCCCAAGAAAATGTGGTAAAAATGAAAGTATTTTTAAGAAGGGAACATCACAAACTTCGTTAACTAAAATTTTAGGAGGCAAACTGTAAAATCTAGGAAATGTTAAATTGAGATTTGAGTATACGTCTCCATTCCTTAATTTAGAAGTGGATAAAATAACACATCAAGCTTAGAATTTATTCTACTTCATGGTCTCCTATTTTTTAAGTTGTTACTTAATTGTAAAGTTGAACTGCTCTACAAACAATAATTTTGTTTAAGAAACAATTTTTTGCTTAATAAAAACCAAGTTCACATACTTATATATAGCGAAATTGGTGTTTGCCACCAAGTTATCTCTGAAATATAGCTCTCTTAGATGTAAGTAGAACTTTATTTCATTGGATATAAAGGAATCTCTATGTTCTAAAAACAGATCATTTAATTTTGACAATGAAAATAATAATAATAATATGATTTAGTCTATCTTTTCTCTTAACTGCTGGATTCTGGGTAAGTCACATATTCCAACATCCTGAAAAAAGAGAAACTCCATATACATGCACCTTGCATATAAACATTAAAGGCTCTGATAAAAATATTAAATGATATAGATGGATTCAATTAAAATCAGACAACTACACAAAGTCACAGCAAATAAATAACATAGGACTTTTTGTCACACTTATAACGAAAAGCATTAAGCCATAGGTTTTTTTTAAATATGAAAAAATGTGTTTTAATTTCCCCTCACTCCCAACTTTTGGTATGTGTATACAGGGAAAGAAAGACCTGCCAAATGCTTAATCCATGACAGCAAGTATTATTCTAAGAACTAATGAAAGCTGAGTCTGTCTGCCTCAGAGACAGGTGAAATACAAACTTTAAGACAAGCCAAAATGTGTGCAAACTGGATAATCTAGTTAAGAATTTGAGATTAGCAGCTTTCTCTTTACAGAAGGGATGTATGTAAGGTTATTGTTTGTTTTTATAAGGATTTGGGGGAAAAAAGAGATGAGTTAGGAAACCAAAGCGAAAAGATAAATGAGCTGAATATGACTCCATGTAAACTTAATCAAAATCACTATTATGTTGTAGCAGTTCAAAAAGAAAATATAATTCTGAAAAACTGAAGTCTTAAACAGAAAGGAGTATTTTGACAAACAAATTTCATGTCCCATTTAACTAAGTTGATGAAAAGGAAAATTTCAAGTTCTCTCAACGTCAGAACAAAGTTAGTTTGATTTCAAAACCTAGAGTCAGATTAGGCAATATAACAGAGAAATGCTTGCTCATTTATTTGTTTACTTATTACAATCACGAAAACAGAAAATTGTTACCACTGGACTTCATATCCTTCAGTATCTGTTTGTTTATTTCAATCAAGAAAGAAAATTATTACCACTAGATTTCAAATTCTTCAATGTCTAGATTTCTCTTGGAAGCAAGGATAACTCCCCAGGGATGTTTAATGCCACTTGCCTTTTGAAAAGCACAGATTATAGAGGTAACGTCAATAGCTAACATGTACATGGCAATGACCATATGCCAGACACTGCTCTTCATAGACATTAAATCACCTATCCTCACAACACCCTTCCTTATATTACTCCCATTCTACAGGTGAGGACACTGCCTGAGATCACACAGCCAGTGGAAGTGGTCAAGCTAAACTGCACACATGGTCCATCCTACCAACACTCAGTATGTTTTCAAAATGAAATACATAAAACTTTTGCCTTTTTTCACCAAGGCTTCTAGGGTATTTGACAACCCAGAAAAAATACCTTACAGATTCTCACAGATCATGAATGGATGCACGGGAACCCCATGTTCTAACAAATAATCTCCCAGAGATAACAACTGGACAATCCTTATATGTCATTTCCTTTCTGTTCTCCTTATACTCCCTAGTCATAATTCCTCTCTTAGAAGAAAACCCACAATTTACTTATTATTTTAAATTCCAATATGCTATGTTGTATTTGTTGCCATGTTATTTAATATTTAATATAAATTTTTCATTTATTCCCAGACATATTTTTGCTTTTAAAAGATTTAAATTTGTCTTTTGTTTTTCTGGTTTCTCTGTGTTTTAGGGTACAAAATGGGTACAAAAGTATGTGTTGTTGTCTTATCTGCTAACAGTGATGCTAGGAAGGCACTCGAAACTTTCATAAGAAGCTTCATTTCTATTAATGTTCCTTTTCCCCTCATGCCCAGAAGGAATGCACACAGGGCTAAGATCCTAGGAAATGTGTAACAGGCCTACCTTTCACTAATGCTAATTAATAAACTGGACTAAGGAGCCTTCTATAAACTCTGTATCCCTAGGCTTGTCAGCATCAAGTACTGGGTCATCCTGTCACTCCTGTATCAACTAAAGCCCCACAAATCCCACAGAACTTCTCTGGACTGTTTTCCAAGTACAGTCTCACCTAATCTTCAAGACAACCTTAGGAAACAGGTACATTTATCATCCCCCTTTACCTGAGAAACTAAGTCTCAGAAAGGCCCAATGACCTGCCCAAGGCCACAGAGCCAGCCGGTGGCAAAGGAGGATTAGAACACAGACTGTCCAGTACCTGAGCCTAAGGGTCTCCTTGCCACAGTGAGCTAGATGGCCTCTTTCACTTTTGTTGCTCTGAAGATGGTTGACGGGTGCTTAAGGGAGAATTATCCTTTGCATGTCAACAACTGTAGAATTAAATATTTGAAGTTTTAAAGGGCAATTTTTTAAAAAGATTTTATTTATTCATTTGCATGAGAGAGACACAGAGAGCACAAGTGGGGAGAGGCAGAGGAAGAAGCATACTCCCTACTGAGCCAGGAGCCCAGTGCGGGGCTTGATCTCAGGTTCCCAGGATCATGACCTGAGCTGAAGGCAGACTCTTAACCGACTTGAGCCACCCAGGCACCCCTAAAGGGCGATCTTTTTTAATAAAACCTGATAATTCTTAGTTTTCCTCTTCATGAGATGACACCTATATTCTATAAATAATAAGTGTTAGATTCATTCTCTTTGTGCTCTCCTTAATGATTAATGTTAAGTAAAATTCAAGAAACAAGCAACATTAAAAACTATAACTTTAATCCTTTAGAGTCTCTTCTCAGTGAGAACTGGACCAGGAATAAAGCAAACCTTCACTTTCTCATATTAAATAGTTCATTCAGGGACGCGTGGGTGGCTCAGTTGGTTAAGCATCTGCCTTCAGCTCAGGTCATGATCCCAGGGTCCTGGGATGGAGCACCGAGTCGGGCTCCCTGCTCAGCAGGGAATCTGTTTCTCTCTGTCCCTCTGCCCCTCCCCACTGCTCATGCTCTGTCTCTGTCTCTCTCTCAAATAAATAAATAAAATCTTTAAAAATAAATAAATAGATAGATAGATAGCTAGATCATTCAGAACACGACCAGATGCATGGATTTCAGTGGCCGCATTAGAAGGCCCCACAGCTTCAGGAATCTAAGTGTGAGGTCATATAAAGTATTTAACCATAGTAACTAATCAGTCTATTCATACATATGATATTCCTTTTCAAGTAATATGCAAATGTCTATTTTTGCTTTAAAGTTAGCCAAGCTTTTTATACCTTTACTCTGCTTTTTTGACTAAAGAAAAAGTAAAGGAATATATGTAACTATGCTATGCTAATTCTGTAGATAGTGTTTGTCTTTGCCTATGTGGCCACCTCATCACTACCCCACCAACCTATCTCTGCTCTTCAATTTGCCCCCCTCCAGTTGACTACTGCTTGTCCATAGAGTCCATGCCTCCCCACCTTCACAATGAAAGGCTGACTTTGCCATTGCTAGACAATTAAAGTTTGCCCCTTTCTGTTCTAGGAAGAACTCAGCCTCATTATCAAGCCTATTCATAGAATCTGTAGCTTTTCTTCCCAGTGTTTATTTGTTCCTGGTTTGTACTCTGCTACCCCAAAGTATACTGTTTCCAGTTATTTCTTAGCCTAGTGATATTCCTTATACAAAGACTAAATCCAAAATAGTGTAAGAGCTCAGAGAAGGAAAACCCCACCAATTAAGGTACCTTAAAAAATTCTGTTCATCTTCACCTTATGATTAAATGATCTCATTTGAACCTATAGTTGTACTGGCTTTCAAACTGTAAGATCCAGGAGAGTGGCATCAGCAACAATTGGGGGCTTATTAGAAAGGCTGATGCCCAGACCCCAGAACCAGCCATCCTCACCTTTATGGGGACTCTGGGTGGCTCTGATGCACACTGCAGGTTGAGAACCTGCTGAGTTGCTGATGTTGACCTTCTGGATTCAGGTACAGACAGGTGTCTCCTCTTACCCTACTGAATGCAATTTACTAACCCTATTATCTTCCTCATGGTCTTGAGCAACCAGGGACTGCTGGCTGATAATTCTGGAAAATTTCCAATATAGCCTCTTTGAAAAATTTACTTCAACCCAAGCTCAAAAAAGATGAAGTCCGTGCCACCATTATATTTCCCTTAATAGCTTATCCTCCAATTACAGCCATCTCTTAAAATGGAAGACAGCAACCTATTAAAATTGAATACAGTATGGATAAACACGTTTTCACTCCCCTATTCCTACAAAGCTCATATTTCCTCTGGACTATGAGAAGGAATTATTTCTGATTATGCTTTGTAGTTCTATACCTTCCTCCTGTATTGTCTATATTATCTCCTTCTATCAATTTATGGATCTCACTCCTAAACCTCTCTTCTCTTGCCAATCATTGTTTCAATGATTCATTTCTCCCATTAACTGTGATTTGCCAAGTGGGCCTTCTATTGTCTTTATTAGAATCAAATCCGCTCTTATGATTTCAAATGCCAATGGAACAAAAACATTTGTAGCTCACCTGGCAGTCCTAGGTTCTCATTACATTTATTTCTAAGTCTGTCATCCATTTGGGAACATTACTACCCATCTTCTGAAGTCTGCTAGTTCCTTAACAAGCCACCTAAGTGGAGCTTTGAATGTCTCTGTGCATGCCTTCTTCCTAGCCATTTCCAGTAACACTAAGAGCACCATCATGTTGACTGAGACTATTCACCGTCTACCATATAGACCTTAAAGCTAGGCCCTATCACTAGTCCACCACATTATCACAGTGACTACTCCACCTCATACCACCATACCTGCTCTGTTTTCCTCTGGACTAGCTGCAGATACTTGTTGCCACAATCCTCATCTCATGTCTTAGTCCCCCATGTCCTCCTTGAAAGTAAATTTCAACATCCACTCAGTTTAAGCACTCTTTCTGACATACCACCTCACTCTTCAAAACTGCAATGACCATGATGGGGTTCAGGACATGCTACCCCAAAATATGGCACCTTGGTGTATGGAATATTTTAAGCTGAAGGAATTTGACAAAACAGTAGAACCAGGGAAGTCACTCTAACTTTCCCCCTGCTCTTCTCCCTTAAAATAGTCATGAAACACTCCAGTGAGAAGTGCCCTCCACCATAACTGGAAAAAAGGAACATCCTTATCTCTGAAGACAAGGGGATGTCAAAAAGAATCCAAACAAACAGATCTTGTTAAGTTTCCCATACTTACCTCATACTCCTTGACCTGTCATATTTCTCCAAGACCATCAATTCTTCATCGAACCTAACATAAAAATACTTAGCCTTAATGGTTTCTTTGGATCTTCATTTCCTTACAAAGGTTCCCAGTCACATAAAACTTATATTAAATAAACTTGTATGCTTTTCAGTTTGATTTTCAGACCCAGCCGGGGGCCCTAAGAGGGTTGAGGAAAACTATTTTCCTCCTCTACATTAAACCAACAAAGATTAACAGGAGAAATTTCTATGGTTTTCTCAAACTCCTTCTATTTTCTCAAACTCCTTCAGCTTAAAATATCCAATATGCTAAAGTACCACATCTTGGGGTGGCACATCCTGAACCCCATCAGTTCTTACTAAGTTCCTTCTCTAGGTTCACTTGATACACAGCCAAATCACTAACTCCTCTCTAGCTACCAAACACCTCTCAGCCAGTGCCAACACCTGAAACAAAGTAATTTGTCTGCCAATCCTTCCCTTTTAGATTTATTGAAGCACTAAATTAATGTAGTCTGAATAAATTATCAGTCTTTATCTAAAACCAACTCTTCTGTACTATATATGATCTACTCTAAAATTCTCTGCTCTGCAGAATATGAATGTATCACTCAATTATAGGAATCTGTATATGAACATAAGTGTACATGTATACTTTCATAATTAATTTGTCTTATTTTCATATTTTTGCAAGATATAAAACTAGCTGGTTAGGTAAGGGAACAGAAGGTGCTAAACATATCTCCTATTACTTCTTAAAGTCTAAAAGTCAAGGCTCTCAGAAAAGATTATGAGTTATAGTAAGAAAATTTGTTTCCTTTTCTTCAAATCCTGTTGGCATTTAGATGCCAAATTCCTTGCTGTTGTTTTTCCATCTGCCCACAGTGCACATTTTTTTTTAAACAGTACACCTGCAAACAGAATAATCCAGAGAATCCAAATTTATTAATGTAAACACTCCCAAATCAGGCCAGAGCATATGGGTCACTGTATAGGTTTTTGTTTTCTGTACAGCATGAACTTATAGACAGAAAACTGTTCTTAAAAAAGGTAATATGTACACATGAAGTTACATCAAACTTAATATGTAAAACCGTTTCCTTTAAGGAAAGCAGAAAATGTTCGAGGAGAGGACAAAAGAGGAGAAAAAGAAGACGACAACGATGATGACACCAGCAGCAAACCCAGAAATTTCAGCTTCCATAAAATATATGGCTGCCTATTAGAATGAAAAAAACCTCTGAGTGTAAATGTTTCATTCAAGCTTGCCAAAGATCAGCTTAGTTTTTATTGCTCTGTGCAATTTCCGAATTAAGTGACTTCACTGTGAGTGGGACTTTTTTATGTAACACATTACATCATAAATTAACCCTAATAATGTTATAGCTTTTAGCTTACCCAGGCTGCTTTATCTGAGAATGTGGGAAGCGTGCAAAGCAGTTAAACACTAAGGAACAGGGGGAAGCCACCAGTGCTCACCAGCAGATAAATAGCACAATGAGCTGGCATGGTTACAAGCCAAGCGGCACATTCTTCCCCTGATTTTGATTTGTTATCGGAGTTTCAGTGGAAAACACACACAGGAGGACGGCGGCAGAGGAAGCAGGAGGCCACTGTGTCCAAGTGATTCCACCAGCCTGTGCTTGCTCACTGAGTCACTCACCTCGTAGCCTTTCTCCAGCAGGAACTCAGCCAAGTATGAACCATCCTGGGAAGAGAAGGAAAATTGACAATTGTCAGACCCATCACGGCTAGCGTAGAAGGCAGCCAAGGCTGAGAGCTTTGAGAAATGCACTGAAGGGGCTACATGAACTCAAATTAAGGATCATGGCAACCAGAATAAAAGTAATACAGCTAATGATGGTAAAAACAGAACAGTATTCCTCTTTCCACTGTTCACTAAGCATTTTCATAGACACTATTTCACTTGAGCACCACAGAAGCATGGCAAAGTATTATCATTGATTAATTTACTGGGTAAGAAACAAAATCCAGGGACATAATATGGGGCAACAGAGAGAACATGACACTTCGACAGATGTGGGTTTAGTTAGGTTTGGCCACTTACTAGCTGTGTGAAATATGCAAAATATGTGTAGCAAAGCAGAAGGCCTTGGTACTACAGGAACAAAAAACAGGAATCAGACTAATTCTGGGTGGTTGTGAAAGAGGTGAAGGAATGAGATGGGAGCTGTGAGGACTTGGGGAGAACACAGGTGAGTGTAAGGAGGACGCAGGGAACACCAGAGCGTTATCAACATTGCTAAAAAAAAGACACTATGGCAGAGAGGAGGTAGGTGAGCGCCTTTGTGGGGGAAGACCTTCTAGGCACTGGTGGGAGTTGGCTTCTAACTCAAGGGTTCTGGAAAGTCACTAAAAAAAGAGTTTTGGGGTTTGGGTGCTAAACACGATCAGATTTGTATTATTATCACTGAATATATATGCATAACACACACACTCATAAACTTTAAATACAAGAAGGATATTTATTTTTTGTAAAGTAGGAAGGATGCATCTTTTTTTCAAATATTTTATTTATTTGAAAGTAAGAGAGAGCAGGGTGAAGGGCAGAGAGAGAAGCAGACTCCCTGCTGAGCAGGGAGCCTGATGTGGGACTTGATCATGGGACTCCGGAATCATGACCTGAGGCAAAGGCAGACGCTTAACCAACTGAGCCACCCAGGTGCCCCAAGAGGATGCATCTTAAATCGTGCAGTTATTCCCTACATTAAGATGAAGGTATCTGACTAAACACAGATTCTCAACTGGCTTTTAATAACTCTCATAAAAATTTCTAAGGTGCCTGGGTGGCTCAGTCGTTAAGCGTCTGCCTTCAGTTCAGGTCATGATCCCAGCGTCCTGGGATCGAGCCCCACATCGGGCTCCCTGCTCAGCGGGAAGCCTGCTTCTCCCTCTCCCAAGCCTGCTTGTGTTCCCGCTCTTGATGTCTCTTTATCAAATAAATAAATAAAATCTTAAAAAAAAAATTCTACCTAAGGGGGAATGCTATTTAAACTAAAATATTTCATGTGCCACTTTTAGGGAAAGAAAGTATGAGAGTCATCTAATAAAACTATTAAGAGGCCAAAAGGCTAGAAATCACTGTTCTAGAGGTACTATAAAAGCTATCAGCCTTGCTCAAAATATGAATCGGGTAGACATTTTGCAATCAATCCTGTTAACTGCCCACCTGTTTTTAGCCCGGGTCGGTCCCCTCCATCCCATCCAGACTTAAACATAAAAATGGGAGGCTCCAACTACTGGAAATTTGTGTATTCAAAAGTAGCTGGGACTATTTGGGAGTATTTGGGTTTTCTTTGGTTTCCTCAGTTTGAAAAAGTTTAAAATATCCCTCTGAGTTTCAAAAGATCCTACCAGATATTCCAGGAAAAAGAAAGCCTTATTATTGTCACTAGTTACTTAAAGCTGGAAATGGAGACACCCTATGGGTCCTAAAAATGACAGGGCTGCCAAGAGAGTGTTTACTACATTAATGCAGAAGTCACACATAAATTCAGGCAGGATGACAAGGCAAGGTATACAAGGGACACATTTTGTGGTTCATTAAAACCTCCAACAGATTTTCTTCTGACTTCTTGACATAAATATTCTGGTTTATAGACTCATGTAGAGAAGAAGAGAAATGGTTTGGCATATTCCTTTTCCTCTCCATCTTATGATATACACACAATTGCATGGTTTTAAAATACCCAACATGCAAACTAAATCAGATAAGAGGGCTGAGCAATTCAGACTAGGACAGGGCAGGTCAGTCTACATGACCATCGGAAATGTGAGAATAATGGGTAGTCTTATAAATCAATCAGTGAGAAAGCAGCTTAATAGAAAAAGTATTTACAATCAGAAGAATAATTTTACAGTAGTTTGGAAAGCCCTAGAATGTATCAAGTTTTGTTTTATTGTTGGTATTAGTGTTGTCATTTTGAAGCAGGCAACACCATACTTTTCATGTTTCATAATTTCTCTTGGAATAAAAAGTTAAAATGCTTTATGTTCTACCATGGCTGCATACAATGTTTAAAAAAAAAAAAAAAGGCAGAGGTGAAAGTGCTAGAGATCCATGGGGGCAGGGAAAGCTGTGATTATTCAGAAAGCTGATGTGAAACAGACCTGACCAGGCCTGAACCCTGTCAATAAGGTCTTGTTCTTCTCACCCAGGGCCCTTCTCAAACTTTCCAACCGCACTGGAACATTCTGAACCAGCAGGGCACTCACTTCCTCCTGACTTCCTTGCCAGGTCTCTCAAGTGATAGGGCCTGAGCTGCACAATGAGTGGGAAATGGAGCAGAGCGAAGGCTCCTGGTCTCTGGCCTAGGGAGCCCAGCTGGCCTCCCCTTGTCCTCTCCCTGAGCCCCTGAGGGGACCCCACAGGGAGACACAGTATCTAAGCAGACAGGCGTCAGCCAAGCTAACAAGATCATTGTTTCTGCCTCCTCTAGAAGAACAGGGTTGTTGGAGAAAGCTTCAATCAAGACTAATAACTGAAATGTCATGGCAACTGAGAACCTACAACTGACATTAAAAATTCTGATACTTAATTCCTCGGAAAACAAGGAACTAAATGAACTTAAATTTCCAACTCATTTGCTATGAACACAATTAATCTGGTACAAATTCCAGCCTGGGTTCAATCCTTGCTACAGAAAACTTTTAACTGAGGAGATAATGTCCCAATTGTGACTCTTCAATTTAATCTTGTACAGGGTTATTAAGGGTATCCATTTCATATTAAATGCTGTGCAGATTTAAGGAATCACCATGGCTGTAACATTTTCTATCTTATTCTTGCAAGAACTCGGCCCGGAAGGCAAGGAGCCACTGGCATCTGAGGTCAACAAGGCACATGACAGTAACCAATTTGCATAGTATCACACTACAGGGGCAAAGCCAGAACTGGAATCCAAGTTGCGCATTATTCTGACCTAGAAAACAACCTCCTTCCTCACTCTCCTCTACCTGGGACCTACCAAAACATGTCAAAACCCAACAAAATAATAAAACACCATAACAGATTTCATTTTTAAACCAAATTGACTTAGTCATTTCCCATTACGGAGTGTTTTGTGGATTAATCAGTGCTTCTAGTTTTAATTAAGTGACATCATGTAATTTTAGAACACTCCAGAGCTCAGAGGAAGGAGACAGTACACAGCACCTGAGATTCCTCAGGTCGTGTTTGGGCCCTACTCAGGAAGCAGTACAGTATTGTCTGAAGGTGGACTTGGACTGACTGTGGATGTATTATTTGGGGGCTCTAGAGCCAAGGAGGGCACTACCCAAGGACCAAAAGTGCCAGATTTAGGTATGCCGATGCCTACAGTCCCTATATTTGGGTATCTCTATTTTTCACCTTCCATGGAATATTCAGAAATGTTCTAGATCAACACCCATAAAAATAAAGAATAATTCCAAAAATTAGTTCAATCATATCTTGACTATAGTATTAAAGTTACTTAAAATTACACATCTATTAAAAGCTGAAGGAAGTACAGAAAGTTTACCCCTCTCCTGATGACCACAGAAGGCTATATTAAGCACTGACTGATCCTCTATCCCACATCCAAATACGTATGTGCCAGGCAGTCTACCTTCCTGCAGAGGAGACTAGCATTTCTCTTCTCCCTTCAAACATGGATGCACTTACAGCCCAGAAGGACAAACGAAAAGGACACTTTCTTATATGCAATTTGAGAACCCGGCTCCTCTGAAATGCATGCTAAATTATACTGTGTGTTTCTGCCTAAGCACCATTTGGCAGCTTCTTTGAACACCGTATAAGATAAGTAGTATTGGGCTAAAGAAATCATGCCACTAATAAATGAGTTTCTTTGTTTAGATCATCTCAAGCATCAGGAAATAGAATGTCCCTCCTGTAAGGAGAGAAAGCACCAATTTACACTGCCCTTTATGTTATATAATTCTACGAATTCTAATTACTCTAAAATAAGCATCTTTTCACCTAATAGCAATTACAGTATCAAAGTAATCTGTACCTCCCCATGAGAGAAATGCAAACACCTCAATGACTAAGAGAGAAGGCAGTTCTGAATTAGAATGAAAACTTCCAATGGGAAGACTGGCAATGTAGTGTGAAGAATACAGAAGCAGAATATATTTGAAAAGTATTTTCACCTGGCTCATGTTTGTAACACAAAACACTACATAAAACCTTTTTTAAACTCACAGAATTCAAAAGACCATAGGGATTAATTAATCCAACCCTCTCATTTTACAGATCAGGATATTGAGATTTAAAACAGTTAAATGTTTAGTGTACAGTCACACAGTTTGGAAGTAGCAGAATCTGCTCTCCCCCTCAAAAAAAAGTCTTCAGACTCCCAGACCTCAGAATTTTTCACTATAAAATACTGCAAAAAAAAAAATCCAAGATGAAGAGACTGGACTAATGTCTACAGTTGACACACTAATGCATTATACCAAGTGAAGAACAAGAATACAGCCAACAATTATCAGTGGAGTGAAAACTAGCTGACCAAGTGGTAGACAGGACACCAAGATATCATCAGTATTTAAAACATAAATAATTTCCAATTCCTGTAGTCTTTTAAAGTTAACAATTATTTCCCCATAAAAGCTGCTCTCGCGGAAAAACAGACTTTCACTTACTTTGATTTACTTCCTGGTAGAGAGGAGCACTGTAATCCAGAAATGTTATCAACAAACTCT